GCTAGATGCTGTTCACAGTAAATAATATTGCATGGGGTTGGGGAATAAAAAACTTGATTTGCTATAAAAAAATTTATAAAAAATAATTAGTTTGGAAAGTGTAGGCAAAAATGAACATTTATCCATGTAATTTACAATTACTACTGTTCAAATTGTGATGTCACTCACAATCCAGTGCAGTAGCATCTGTGTTCATTACAACAATGATGATACTTTTCTAGCAATGACTAGACAAATCCTATGATCATGAAAACATCATCTTCCAAAATACATATATGTTCTAAAATACATCTTAAACATTATAATCTTCCCACTAGAGAAATGCAACCTCAGTATTTTTATTAAAACATGCTATTCATTAAAATAAATTTGTACTCTCGCAAAAGAAAACAATTTTCCTTAATTTTTTTTTCAAAATAAGGTAGTGGGTGTTTAAAAGAAAAAATAACACACAGAAATATAATCCTATATAACTGTTTTAATAAATATACTCCATTGGTTTTACTGAATTTTTTTCCAGATAATCTAACTGTATCTGCATCCTTAATATACAGTATGAACATCTCTACTTCATGTTATTCTAAGATTAGGTTTGAAACACACATTCAAATAGAAAATTACAAGATTTCAAGCTATTTTAGCTATTCTGAGAGATGAGTTTAAATGCAACCAGTGAATCTTCTATCATGTATTTTTACTGATCCCATCTTCTCCCTGCCTTACCTCTTTTCCACTCTCAACTAAGGAGGTTTATTTTACAATTGTTACCTAGAGATTATTACTGTAAAAGAATCTATATCAGTGTAAATATTATTAAATGAACTATTTTCCTTACTTCTAGATGCCACCTCTTTCTTCTATTTTACCTGAAGTGCACTACCACCATCTTAAGAAGCTTTTTATTCCAAGAACAGGGTAATAGGGAAGAAAATATAAATGTTTATCAAACTAAAATGTGTGGTGATCTTTTTACATATTTAGTTGTAATGTGCAACCTGCCAAATACTACTGTCACACAATTTTTTAATCTTTTCTGTGGAGTTGAGACAGAAGTTGGTCACAAGCTCCACTGAAATGACTGAATAGTATGTGGCAACAATATTGTCCAGATTGCACATCTTATGTAGTTTAATTAATAATTACTAATTTTCAAAAATATACATCATGACAAATTTGGACAGTGTGCAGAAATAATGCTTTTATCAAAAGGGGGGGCCTTCATTTTGAAATGTGTTCCATCTGTTTTTTTGTAATATACTAGAATTATATGTATTTATGGTGAATTTCTTTTAATATGTGTCTCATGTAAATGGATATAAATATGATTTTTTTAAAAAAATATGTGGTACATGGGGTCTTAGTGCAAACACTTGACAAATACATTGTCAGGTATACTGTTTGTATCTTTTCATTCCACTATTTTTTACAATTTTGAATTGTAGCAGTCAATTGAATATTGGATAGCAAAAGTTATTAGATGCTTCATCTTGTTCCTACTTTTTCAATATATATATATATAAAACACTATTTAAAGTGAATTTTTGCCTCTAATGATCAAGAGGTAAAAGATTTAAACATGAAACTTGAGCCAAAAATGAACCTATAAAGGCAAAACAGAACGCTCATACGTGTATACAAATATACACAGAAATGCATACAAAATTGTAAAAAAGCACTGTGACTGCTCTTTTTTTCTAAAACCAACATGAAAAAAAACTGCAAAAATCAAAACCAATTATGGAAAACAAGAGACATTTTCCTCAATGGCTACGAAGAAGCAATTACCAAGAAGCAGCTAGCTTTGCTAGTATTTTTTTTTTCAAAATTCTTCACATACTAGCTAAAATTGGCCTTAAACAAATCTGATTTTCAATGTTTCAGTTGTATAACAATACCCTCCATGTCTTCATTATAATAGGATATTGGAACAGCTGCTTGTCTAATGTTAGGCTTTCATTCAAAAGTGGCCTTGCTGAGACTTCACTGAAGTCAACTTTATCAGAGGAAATAACTGAAAGACAAAACAGTTATTATATACTGTATAGAAGTTTAGAGGAGAAAATATTACCTACTGTGGTTTTATTTGATGGTGTTATTGATGTTTGCCCTTTGTTATATTGGAAGTTTCAAAGTAAGAACTATTTAATAATGTAATTTACCTACTCTATTTGCTAATAATCTTGCTGCCTGATTGATCTTATTGTAGCTTAAGTCCTGTCCTTCAGCAGGCTTATCTGCAAAACATCTGCACGTGCATTTGTTTTACTGCATTTTTAAAATTTTAAATAGATTTCAGTTAAGGTGACTGAATTTTTTCTCTCCCCCTTGTCAATAAAATAAAATCAGTGCTCTTTTATGCATTCTGTTTGTAGTAGAGTTGCATACATCATTGTTTCAACCTTAAGTTTTAACGACATTGTTTAAGCGACAAATATAATCAAGACATTCTTATTTATCAGGTTATTAAAGTACAGAATTTTTCCCATTCCAATGATTTGGAAATTTGAAACACCCCATTTTGAGTATGAAGCAGTTGTTGGGAGTTCAAAATGATTATTACATATCACAGTATACCGTCTCAATTATTGTATCAGAGATCAATAATCATCTAAAATGTTCAAAATATCAGTTTCACATTGGAAATACAATGTTTTAAAATTGAGTAATTTGATTTATTCAAAAGTATCTGAATTTAAAGTGATTTGCACACAGTAATATGAAATACAGCAATTTCAACTCAATTTAGTTATATTGCAAAATGTTTCTTTTCAGTACACTACTGTGTCTTTTCCAGCTGAACATCTTCTGGACAGAAAACACATATACCGAGCTACAGATCATTCTACACTTCTGTTCCAAGTGTTTTGTGAATTGCATTTTTTTCCTGTGGCTTGCTCTTTTTGCCCCTGTCAGTAAATACAATTCAGTACTCTGCGTTATTAGGTCTGCTGAGCAAAGAGCAGACGAAAATGCATTATTTCCTAAGAAAAAATATTGGTGGAGTCTGTATAGGAAGCCAGAGACCAGGTAGCCTTTGGATTAAAACTCATCCCACTACCCCCTCCCAACCCCCCAAAAATGATTACTGTACTTGCCCACAACTGCCTTGTCCAAACCCATCTTTGCTTAACACATAAGAAATTTGGCCTTTCCTTTTAATCAAAGGGGGATTCCTTAGATTGCAGTCTAAATTGTATTGTATTAATCAGTGACTGCCATTGAAAGCAACTGGACTCATTCCACAGAGAATTAAAATTTGACTGCAAGAGTTCTCAGCACATGCTAGATTAAAGGAGGGGGGGGAGACAGGATAATAGACAAAAGATTTAAATTTATTTTCAATTAAACATTTTTACTGACTACCGTACAAGCAGGTTGAACAACCCTCAATGAGTATCACAGCTCTTCCCTTAATTTCAAAATTCTTTGTAAGCAAACAGACAATTCATGTATGCCTTCTGTTTTCTAGCATCTATCTAAGTAAGACAAGGGTAAAGTAAAAGAGGATGTCAGAATGAAAGAGAAAAACTATTTTCATCCACTCCCAAATACCCTCATTACATGAAAGTCCCCAACAAATTACTCATAGAGGGATATGGTGCTTGACCCTCCTTCCCAAACAAACACTTTTGTGGTATTTCTCTGCCTTTCACATTTCAGGCTACAGGTAGGAGTGCAGGTAAGTCCAAGAAAATGCTTTCAGGTATTATAGTAACATAATGCTTCAACTACATTAAATATTCTCCCTGGCCACCTGCTCTCATAAGAAAAGAGCCTTACCCAAATTCATTATCACATTATGGGTAAAAACCCAGTGATTGTAGGGTGATCAAACATGAAAGATGATTATTCCCATGACTGCCAAATGGTTATAGCCCCAAATGCCTGTTTATAAAAAGGCATAACGATGTTTTAAAATAATTTGGGTATTTTAGAAAACGGAGCACAATTTTAGAGACTACATCTCTCAATGTTTAACACCAGGGGGCAATATTTCTGAACTATATAATCTTTTTTGGCTTGGTTCCTAACTGAGAATTGTTATATGGCTACAAATTGTTATTTACCTTGAATATCTGGCCATTCTGATTATGAGATTTTTTTTTCTTCCTTAAACTTATATTCAGTGCTTGTGGCATACTATACAGCCACAATCACCATAATGGGCTATGAGAATAACTTTGAGAGAGAGGAGGAGGAACAGTCCAGACAATGGTCTGACCAGAGAAATCTGAGTCCAAAGCAGGAATGGAGGGCGGAGAAAGCATCTCAAAATTGACTCTCCCTAATTCTCTGAAATATAAAAGTAGGCCAAGGGAGGAGAACATTTTCAGGCTTGCAAGATTCTGTTACTGTAAGCCTACAATATAGATAACGTATTAGTATTCTTGTTTTGGTTTTCTTGTCTGAAATAACTTCCCAGGCTGACACTAAAGGATTTCTTAAAACAGGGCTGCCAAATTCCCAGCCCACGGGCCAAATGTATCACATGCTGGCCACGCCCATGCCCGGTTTAATAAAGTGGGGGAAAGTCCTGATATGTCACATAATGCACCATGACGACATGAGTTTAACACCACTGTCCTAAAGGGTTCTACCATGTAACGTCATAAGTCAGATTACACAATCTTTTTTAAAAATCAATTGGGCTGGTTCAGCACTCACAAAGAACATTCA